CTTGTACGGGCTACACGATATATTGAAAGGAAGTCTGGTTTATCGATATGATATGTGCCGGCTCGTACTAGCTCCTCGACTCCTCGTCCATAAAGTCGCTTTAAAACTGCAAAGCAACTAACATCTAATGGCTGTAAAAGATGAGATGAGTGCGGTGGCATACAAAGCGTTATGATGTTATGTTCTGAACAGAAAAGATCGAATTCGGGAGTAGAATGACTACCATGGCCATCGAGGATTAAAAGTCGATATACTCCTTTTACACGGTCTGTGAGAGGCCAGACCTCGAATAGCTCAAAGGTGTGGTTTCGAATATTCAATTAAGAAGTGCGTGAAGACTACATACATGCAATCTCTTCCTCTATATATAGAGAGAGGAAGAGTTTCTGGGGTCTTCCAAGAAACTGTTTGACAAATACGTGACGTCAAAAGAATAGAGTAGAAAAGTGTAGAAAAGGAGAAACCAATTTAGCAGTGGAGCAATGGCCAATGCTGAGCGGGGACTTTGGTCAGTGCTTAGCGAGGGCATGGCCCGAGCCTCCATCATGGGTTCCAACCCTCACAATAGTTATTGCAAACTATGAACAAGCTAGTGTAAACATTATTTTCATTGTGAACAATACTTGTCTGCCTCTTGGAAGAATTTGTAAGGCGGCGAACCAGTGAATTTGGTTCGCTAAGTGAATAGTAATGAGGGGTAGAGTGGGGTTATGGGCAGAGAGGCCTTGTTTAATCAAAAAATTACGAGACTTGATAATATAGTATCTCTTCTCTCCTTGCGATCAATCTTTCAACGTTGTTCTGGAGTAGGACCTGTACGCTTCTAGTGATACCCTTGTAGGATTCAAGAAGTTTTTATACTCTAATACTCCTTATGATCAATTGTGCCAGCGTATATGAGAAATACTCTTATTAGAGGTCTGATATACTTGTTAGACAATACTTTGGTTTTTTGATTGATTCCGCGTACAAATACGCAAAATCGGTTCAACATTAAACACACGTATAAGAATATGCGTATAGTAATACAAAACATACTAAATTGAGGCAATTCCAAGCTATTCTTGGCCCGCTTTTTAGGTCTCCTAGCACCTTTTCAAGCACTACCACGCCCCTCCTCATTTACCACTACCCTGACCCACCCTTTTCGTAAATATTTGTAAAAGTAGGGCGAATAAGGGATAAAAAAGCATCGAGTTAATGGAATCTGAATATCAAAAGCAAAGGAGGGACTCAAATCCTTATACTCCCAAGGTTTCTACTAGTGCTCCTACTAAAAGTTGGTTGTGCTTTGTCCCCTGCCCCCCCATGCCCCTATCCCTCCCCTTTACTTAGCGAGTTACTTAAAAATCCGACCCCAGGCTCTCGAGCACTTAAAAATAGCCCTACAGCATCATTATGTACGCACAGTTTCTGTATGCACCAGACATTCGTAAACTGTAGGTAAGGTTTCTTATCCCTTTAACCATGTGAGAAAAAGGGCGGATAAGAAGCCCTAGCGATACGAGCACCTAGTTTAGTCTAGTAAATCAAAACAAACTAAGAGTGTAGGTCGCTTTGACTAAAACTTGCTCAGATACGCTCGCAAAACTTGAAATCTAATATGCGTACTAGACGTCCTACGCTGGCACAATAGATCACGTACCGGGGGTATGATATTCACAAGATCAGACACTCGTTGCCGCTTTTGATGATGGGACAACCTCGGGATCTACACACCTACCCCACTATTGATCCATCATTTCCCAGCCGAGCCAGCCTCTCAACAACATTGTCGTTTGTGGCCATTGAGAGAGAGCGGAATACATATTCCAATAGTTGTACCTATCAACTTCAGGAGATCCTCCCCCACGCTGCTCGCACTGGCAAATTTCACGGACTCTCACAATCCAAACCCCATTTTCTATCAGGTCACTAAATAGGAGTTAAGTGTGCGAAAGCCCCCCATCCAACATTAGCAGGAGCCAAGGTTGGTTATTCTTATCAGTCACCAGAGGAATTGATATGTTAATTAGTCTCCGAGGCAGAGAGGCGAGCCAGCAAAAGCTGTGAACGTCGTTCCATAAATTAAGACACCCCGAATTACCCGCCACGCTCATAAAGAAGCCATGTCTTTGCTTTCCACAATATCCTCGTAAGTTATCACAGCCATCAGTTCCATAATTCACTATATCTGATCAAGATCTGGTCAGTTTGCGGAGCGATGACAAGTATACCGACTTGGAGATCCGATGCCAAGGAAAGGTGTTTAATGTCCATAAGGCAATCGTTTGCAAGCAGGTAGAGTTCTTTGCAGCATGTGTTGATGGAAACTTCCAAGTAAGTCGGTCGCCGCTTCTATGATAGACGGTCATTAATCTTCATGTTTGTTGCTAGGAAAGTCAGACCGGGGTCATCGAAATGAAAGAGGATATTCCCGAGATTGTGGATTGTTTCATTGACTTTCTATAAACCGAAGACTACACGGTGAAAACAAAAACTCCTGCCGTCGAGACTTCAGAGTCAACAATTGATTTGGACCGCTCGGAGTTGCTGCTTCACTCCTACATGTACACCATCGCCGATAAGTATATGGTTGAGAAACTTTGTGCAATAGCCGCCCAAAGATTTAAGAGCGCAATCTGGAAGGCCGGTGAAAAAGACCTGCATACTTTTACCTCGGTCTTAAAGGCTGTATTTGAAGGCTCGCCTGAAGACGATAGAGTCTTCAAGGATTTATGTATAGCGTTCTCTTGTGAATGGTATCGTAAACTTGGCGAGAGGGAGGACTTTCGAAATTTCTGTCGGGCAAATGGCGATGTCTGTCTAGAAATTCTGGATAAGCAGAGTGCTTTGAAGGAGCTGGCATTCAAATCTTGTGCTGAAGCTGCTAAGCAATCAATTGCGCCGTGTCAGAAGTGCAACCCACCGCAGTTTCCTGCATTTCATTTCGGCGACAGCCAGAACAATGTGAGAGCGCCGAGATCCACGAACATATTTGGACCACCTGAAGGGCTTGGCACACGGAATGGTACAAGTATCTTTTTAAGAACGACATAAGTAAGGCAATGAGGTGGTTACGAACTAAAGCCCGACCCCATTTCGGTGACAAGGGGTACTTCTCTTGTTGTGCACGCTAGTTTCGCAACTTCAACGTGGACACTGTGAAGTGAGCAGAAAGGGTCATTAGGAGTATGAATCACTTGACAAGAAAAGGAGTTATTTGCTTCTGATAGCTGTTCATCGATTTTGTTTTTTAAAATGACGTGATCACGACTTTTCGGTCATAGTCTGGGAAACTTCAACGGCATAAAATTGTCCGATTGACACTTTGAATTCATTATCTTGTTTTCTCTGTAGCTTAGATCTGAGTTTTGTCCTTTTTTTCCTATTAATAAGCTACATACAGCCCATTAGGATCAATTGCGTCGCGAGCAGTTGTAACAGGAGTTCCTAGCAACTTAACAAGGAGGTAGCGAGTAACCCCCAGCACCACTAAGGCACAATTTATAACTTGGGATTAAGTTAGTGCGCAAAAATGGAAAATACGCCCAACTAGAGCTCTGTTGCCAATGAGCAGAAAATTTAACAATTCTGCTTTTGTTGTACTGAAGCAATATGTTTATATCAAGAAGATTTGTGTAACTAAACTTAAGAGGACTATATAAAGCAGTATAGTATTACTACAAAAACCTAAGTGCGCGCTCACGTTATCCTGAATCTATATCTAAACCAAGTGACCAAATCGCGGATCGCAAATTACGAAAGCCGTAGGTTTACTATTACCACTGTGCCTATACCCCCACTCTTTGACTCCACGTCCCTAATTAGGTAGGTTAGCATTTTCACATGTATTCCTACTCACCTTACTACCGCACCTTACTGCTGTGTATCCTTACTGTTACGCCCTTACTATTATGCTATTGATATCTTATCCTTATTATCGTATAAGAGTTATACCCTAGTATATTATTAGGGGGAGAGAGAGGGGGGGAAAGTGATAGAAGCGGAGAAATATTTTAGTTATATATACGTGCCCTCGCTTATGTGGCTAGCCCTTAAATACTACATTTTTGAAGAGGCTAAGTAAGGTACGTGTCGCACTAATAACTGCTTACTACTTACTCCTCCTTAGTCTTTCTTTCTCTCTTTCTGTCCGATAGCTAGACTATAATAGTGGGTATGTAATAGAGTAAGAGAGAGAATAGGGAGGGCAAGGGAAACGATAGAAAAGGGGTAACGGAGCTTATAAGATAGAAGCAGGGGTATATAGTTAGTATATATAACATAAGTAAGGTATAGAAATAGAAATACGAAAAGTAGGCGTGAGTAGGTATACTTAGGAACACGTAGTCTAGAGAACTTATGAATGTACTAAACGAAATATTTTAGACTAAATATAACCAACTCTCTTCTCTGGCTCTGCCTACTACATGAATTGACTCTTGTAGTTTGGGATTTTTGAGCCGGCTACTAATTTTAGTTATAGATTCAGGATGTAGTGTTTGTACAGGATACTGTATTTACGCTTCAAATTGAATTTTTTCTTAAATCTCACTCTTACCCTAGTAAGAAAATCCTTCACAGCCCTCTTTGTCTCCATCTTTGTTGGTTTGACTTTAAGTCAATAAAGTGTGATGCAATAGACCTATATTATGTGGTATAACTAAGTCCTTGTTGTATTGCATGCCGAAGCAAGTGTAGCTAGCTGAGGCCCTACGTACTTGTAGGTGCCAGAGTACGCTAGTGGAGCGCGCTAGTCCCGAAGGAGTAGCTACGCTCGGAGCTAGCTAATAGCTATTCACTATTATAAACCGACAATCTTTTCCATCGAAAGTGTTTAGCGCAGTAGGTTTGAATCACGACCTATGATGGTATATCCTCCATGGGGATTACTTAGTATTATTCTTATCACTAAAACCCAATTATAATAACACGACCCTTCCTATAAAATGTATCAACACAAGCAAAATCTTATACCATAAAACCTTAGATCAGCTTGATATGAGATATCATGATTGTAGCCATTCCTATACTAATTCGATAAGAACTTAGGAAGGGGAGCTAGTAAATCGACGCTCGGGTGTTTGGTATTTCGACGCCCCCCCCTCGCCTAATTTATAAGAAATTCACTACCCTTTAGTTAGTAGTAAATACAGTTCCTATTTAGGCGAGTAGGTTTTTTTTCAAGCTAGTAGTAGGGTAATAAAAGTTTTTTGCTAGCGTATATACTTTGAACTTAACTTTGAGGCTATTCCTACTTCTCGCGTATAACGTCTTTGTGTGACGGTTCTGACCGTCACGTGCCATTCATATCACGTGGCTTCCTTAGCGAGCCACATTGTATTTAGACTCAAGCTCTCACGAGCTCTCCTCTTCTCCTCAGCTTAGAATCTTCGAATAGACAGTTCTACGATTCCATAACCTACACCTTGGAGGCTCCTTGAGCAACACATCGTACGTGTCGTCACACTTTGTGAAATATAGCGGAACTATCATGAGTACCTAGTATTCACTCTCTATATAGATACGTGTAGTACTGCCTAATGTAGTACTAAGGGCACGGCCTATATAGAGAGTGAATGTCCCCGAACACTCATCTAAAGGCTCTATAAGAGCGAACAAGAGTCCTAGACTCTTGTAACTTTTTAAGATGGGGCTTTTTATATAATTAGTTAAGTTGTAAAATTTAGTTTAATTAATTTTACTTATAATTATTTATTATTTATAATACTTGTAGATACGTAATATAGCTAAAGACGAACTTACTATAAGAATTAAGTACTTACCTAAAAATATACTTGTCAACTTAATCTTCTTTTTTTTAATATACCCCTTAAATAATATAGCATAGACATGTTAATAAATAATAGGGGGTTACCGTACTTTTAAAAGCGTAGTGTCGAGAGAAAGGTAGAGTTGTTACGAATGCCGCAACTAAAGCTCGGACCACTAATTAGGCGAGGGGGGTAGGCGTCGAAATACTAAACACCCGGGCGTCGATTTACCGGCTGCCACTTAGGAAGGAACTTCGTTAGAATCATCCCCAGAAAAAGATTATAATAACACTAATCCTCGGCATGGGGTTCTTGTGAGACTTAAAAGTGATCGTGTAATGGCTAAAATTGGGGAAAATGACAATTTGAATTTTAGAAATGCTAGTAGAAAATGAATAAACACTAGTATGAGGGGCTGTACTATTTTTGGCCAAAGATTTGTGACTTGATTCAGTAGACTTTGTACACGAATTAATCTATATTATCTGTAAAATATAATTTGACTTATCACTGCTTCTAATGACAGAAAATCTCCGATGTTATATTTGGAATTTGGGCTACATAAGATAAAAAGCACATAGCTGGCGAAATTAAGGACATAAGTGAATCAGCTAATTATAATCCAACAGCAACTTGTTCTTCAGATTTCTTTGCAAACTTAGCAGACACAAAGAATATATACGAGCGTGGACGGTGTTTTAATGGGAAATAGGCGTTCATTACGGGTACAGAGTCACCAGATACTTGTCAACAAATGTCTTGGTTCTTCCTACAACGTACTCAAAAGGGTGAAGTCAGTTCTCAAGATCTTTTCCTGCGTGAATGTATCTGTCACATGATTGTAAATCATATGGGTCTGCTAGCTTGCTCCGCTCCTTTTGGACTAGTGAGCTCCGACGCTAGCATATGTGCTTGATAGTCCTTAGCTTAGAGAGCACAAACCTTCTGCCCCAAACCCCTTTGACAATAAAATTTCCGTGCATTAGCGAAAGCTTGCGCACAAAATTGCCAGGTATTCGTCAAAAAGGCTTGTGCCGGTGCTCTACTTAGAAGTATCCAAAATGGTCAGTTCGTAATGTTTACATCATAAGGTTGAAGGTTAAACATGTACAGACTGCCGAATCACTTTCAGAATCCAAGCGATTGCACTCTATGCTAGCATCGTAAGTGTATTCCATCAAACCCACGGCCTCTTAATATCTACTCTAATGTGAGCTTTGTCTAGCTTGCGTAACAACAATAAATATGCCGACTTGGAGATTCATTGCAACGGCAAGGTATTCAAGGTTCATAAAGCAATCGTCTGCGGACAGGTTGACGTTTTTGCCGCATGTGTAAATGGTAACTTCAAGGTAGTTATGTCTTCTCAATAGGTTCCAGAATTTTGCTAAGATATATCTTTGATGCTAGGAAAGCCGCACTGGAGTGGTTGAGCTTGCAGAAGAAAGTCCTGATATCGTTGGGTACTTTATTGATTTCCTCTATACCGACAAGTATGAACCCAATGGGGAAACAGCCGCCGACAAATTTGCGAATTCAGTCGCCAAAGAAGGAGTAATTCTATCACAATCTGGCTCCAAACTGGGGGCTCAAGATTCCGCAACGGATCCATTCTCCTCTGATCTACTTGTACACACCCACGTTTACGTGATGGCAGACAAATATATGGTAGAACCTCTTAAAACTCTAGCCAAGAAACATTTTGATAATGCCTTATCAAAGCTTGGCGAAAAGAACCTACATATACTCACTGAAGTTCTAGAGACTGTTTTTGAAGGTTCGCCTGAAAGCGATAGAGCACTCAAGAATTCTTGTGTATCATTTGCTTGTACTTGGTATGGCTCCCTTCACGACAGAGGGGAATTCCGAAGTTTCTGTGAGACAAATGGAGACATTTGCCTCAATATCATGGACAATTTATACGATCTGGTTAAGAAACCTGCGAAAGTAACTGCACAACAGTATACATGTTGGGGATGTGGAGGCAGATTGGACCACCCTTTTTGCCGACGATGCAAAGTGCATCTTTAGGGGAGACCATGGGACATATATTTTCGTTATTGAGGGAAATACGCATTACTGTGAAGGAAACGGATAGTTGCAGACTCCATGGGAAAGATTGTGGGATGTCTTGTGGGTTTGAAAGCTCTTTGATGGGCCATCTGCTGTGATAAGAATTCCAAAGAGAGGCTGCCTATTCTGCCTGCTCGCAGCTTACAGGTTACTCCAAGAACACCTTTATTCAATTCATGACACGCCATAGCTTAGACGTTCCTATATTCTTGACTTCACAAGAATGCATTTCCACAAGAACTCTGAGGTTTGTGTATTCTTTCCTTTTTGGCTTAATACTATGTCAGAACTGATTAACTTCTTTTTGCAACGTCTCATTTGAGAATTAAGCGAAACACATAGTAGCGGCTCTTCGCAAGACCTCCAAACCGTATAGGAGATAAGGGACCTCGCAGGTGGAATGCTCAAGGTCACATGCACTCACGTGACTCTCTATCCCAGCTGTGCAGCCCTGGAGGTGGTACAGTATTTAAGTAAAGTTAAAAGGACATATATAATTTAATATAGTAATACTACTAAAACCTAAGTGCGCTCTTAGGGCTAGGGCTTAGATACATTCCTCAATCCTGATCTTAACTCTCTCCACCATACCAAAGAGACTACACAGTCTCTGAAAACTTTGTGCACAGATAACTGACACCATAGGGCGATTCTTTGGATATCAACCACCATGATTTACTGAAATCTCAGTTGTCGCTCTGATTCTTCCTTCAAAGCTACTCTCACTTCCAGTTTCTGGTCGCCCTGGTGTAGTAGAAATTGTAGTCCTGTGATCTATTGGCTCTGGCCTCATGTTATCAATCTCAGTCAGCTCCATGCTGAGGCCTTCTTGAGGTGAGCTCATAGTCGCACCATTAGCTACTGATCCTGTGCGTTTCAAGTATTTAGTGCCTTGGTTGCTGCCTGAGGAGAGATAGTCAGCAGCGCTCATTTTCCGTCGTATTTCTTGGTTGTCAATCCGTATCATTCCAGATTCAAGCCCAAGCATGAAGTTTTTGACAAAGGGGAAGCAGGCTTTAATTAAACTGAGACTTTGTACAAATATCATGCAAATATAGTAAGGCCATCTACCAAAGTCAAGCGAGGACTTGTCGTGGTGCAAGAAGAAGAGTTGAGCAATTACAGCACCGATTATGCTGGATTTGTTAACTGAAAATATTCAGAGATGCGAGTACGTTCTTTGCTGACTTACCTAACTCTTACTCCCAAACAAGCAAAGATGATCCAACGTTGTTTCTGGCTTATGTGGACAGCCCAGAGGAAACCAAATGGAAGTCCAATCACTAGGACCTCAGTCATAATATTTGTGACACCAAAATAAGTCCAAAATGCAACCTACACCAATTAGATATAATTGATACGCAGCTGAAACCAGAACCTTACTCTATCAAAACACTTTGAACCCATTATTTCCCACGTATTTGGAGTTGTACATTGAAAAGAACTCGCAAAGACACTAATTACACCCCACAAAGCGACAAAGAGGATGGTGCCTAGAGCTACTCTGCGATGCAGCATTACTGGGGTAATCTGTCGTAGGAGAAGGAGAGTGGAGGCTTTCGAAAGCGCTAAATTGATTATAAAAAGCAAGTCTGATGCGTACACAGCCTACAACTGAAGTTAGAGAACTGCTTTCCGTAACAGAAAATCTCTAAGAAGAACCATATGAAAAGGGACTAACCTTGGAGTAAATCATGATTTTTGAGGACGTTAAGGTGTTAGGCTGCATTCCCAAGCCATTGGCATTCAAGACTGCCAGTGCGATAGACTGGCCAATGCTGAAGAGCTGAGTATGGTAAGTATTAGTAAAACAAACTTAGAAGAATCATACCATAGCTAAGGAGATAACTAGGTTGTCTAGATTAAGCTCTCTAGTAACAAATAGCTTCATACCAAGCTGTGCGCACACGCTCAAGACGGTTGAGCACATCATAATCCAGTTGATTACACCCACAGCTGGACTATAGTCGTCTGACGTCACCATGCTTCTAGCATAAAGGATTGAAGTGATCATTATACCAATGTGTCAAAATTCAAATTTTTGTTGAATCCTATGAGTTTGAGTAGAGTAAAACGTTGTTTCTGTGGATGAAGAAAGAAGGGAGCTGATGGGTATAAACAAAAAATGACAGGCTTGTGTAACCGCATTATTGTTAATAATTTCCATGCAACCACCACTTCACTGTGGCTCGCTGTCGCTGTCGCTGTCGCTAACACAACGAACAAGTTCTGAAATTGTCTGTGGTGTATAGTGGCTAGAATTAATTCTCTTGCAACACCCCATTCAAGTGCGAGGCATTACATGGGGAGTAAACTGGCATTGCCACTTCAAGGTGACCAATATATCTTCTTGAGCAGCTCCCAGCATGGTTACGAGATCTTCGCACAATACTAGGGTGGCGTTAGGTTCTTCACCAATATAAAAATTGTAAAACTAAGTGCATGCGTAAGGCTCCATACCTTCCTAAAACGAGGTCCACGTCACTGCAGGGAATCTTTCGAACCTAGATTGCAATTAGTCTCAATCCCTGATGATCTGAGACGAATAATTGCCATTAACCACAACCACAAAGTCTGGTGGTAAGGAGCCAACATACAACCTTGTAGTGTAACCACACTGTTGGGTTCCAACGCTTGACATCCGCTCCTTTACCGGTTCTCAAATAGGTATGTTTCCATCTTCTCTTGGAAAATTGGGCAGGCGGCCAGTGCATCTTACTGATGGAGCAGAGGAATTGATTAGCGGTCTGACTAAGAATCTTCAAGTATGTATGTGCATGTCAATGTTGCGTTTAATGAATGATCTCAATCCTTTGAAGCAAATCACAGGATGACAAGATCGACAAAGCAGAAGTTGCGAAACGCGATATCGATAGCCCAATGACTTTTGGTGCGCTCTTTTGTCACAGCGTAGGTGGTTGAGGATTGTATATCTTTTATCTTTTACAGCTAAGTAAACAAGCATTTTAATGTGTTTCATAGATATAAATACTAGAGTCACACGATTCATTCCAGACCTGAGGTTCTATAAATCCATAGAATAGCAAAAAATTCGCCATTGTTTGTTTCACGATAAACTAGAACAGTTCCATTTTAAAAGTCCCAGTAACCACTACAAATTATACGGTGAAGTTTTTGAAATTGTGCAGTTCCAAAAACACAATCTCCACGATTCATAACTCCCAGAAATCAGATATGACCTCCGCAACTTCTACTCCTTGTGTAATTGAGAGACTATGTCCACCATCAAATCCCACAATCACCAGGTTCTGTGAGCCCAAGGTATTTTGCGCATTTCTGCAAAGCTGATGTTTGGGCAAAATGCCGTCTTGATTGCCAACAAGTAGTAAAATCTTGGTACCCATCAACCTGTTACGTAGTCCTGAAACAGTCTCCGAGCCTTCTTTCTCTTCGAGCAACGTTCCCAGAAAGCTATAGGCCGAAAATTGATTTTCAATTGGCGCATGTCGGATAGAGCTAGTAACGCTATGAATGAAAGCTTGGTTGTTGTCAATTTCCCAGTTGACAACCCCTGTGACGTCCAACGAACGTTCTGGCGAGATCGCTGTGCACAGGGTTTTTCTTGTTGATGCTTGAATATCATTGCCGGAATGAGAATTGGCAATTGTAGGACTATCCTGCGATACAGAACCAGTAGTTTCGTTAAGTAGCATTCTGATCACGTATTTGAGACACGTTGATGGGAAGAGCCAAGGGTAGCGAACAGGTAATGCATGTTACTCCAGAGGCAGACTCGTGTAAAGCCCCCCAAGAGCCATAAGCACGATCGAATTGATCAGCTGAGAAAAGTATCCTGCAGAGGAAACTACCACTCCACCACCCATAGAGTACCCAACCAAAGAAAAGCCACCAGAGTTGAGCCTGTCCATGAAGTTGGAGAAGTGGAAATGGCAAGCAGAATTTGCGTTGCGTATAGGCGCGAGTCATGCTTTAAATCCGAAGAGGCATCTGAATACCCTCTACCCCAAAGATCTGGGTAATATGTAAGTACTCCTAAGTGATAAAATAATAGGCAACGTGTGAGAGATAACCCACTTACCTAGGATCATCACGCAGCAACCTCGTTTTGTTAAGGTATCGGCAACAGTTCCAAGAGCTGGTGCAGGGGTACTCAACCCGTGAACGAAGAGCACTTTTTTGCCCTCTTCTGGTCCCCATTCATACAATCGCATTGTGCCATAAGGGCTGTTGACATCTCAAGCTCCAGGCAGAAGGTTGGGAGGATAAGGTAGACTGTCGAGTTCTTTTGACATCATTGATGCCGCAGGAAGTTTTGGCCCGTGCAGAACTTTGGTATCCATCATGAAAACAAGCCGTTCAGGAAAAAATATATCAAGAGGCTAGGGATAGAGCAGAAACGACTTTTGAAGTTGGGTGAACTGTGTTCTTAGGTTGGATGTCTGCACCACCTTGGGTCACGGGCCATGTGCTAAGCGACCAACCAACAACGTCCAGGCTTCTGAGACTGGAACAAAATCAACCCTTTCAGACAGTAAGCACATGACGCAACTGTTGGAACATTCAGTCCTTCATACTACTCGCCTTGTTCTTCTTTTAGAACGATCAAGAATAATGACCAAACGCTGTGGGATCGATCCATAGATTTTCCATAAAGGTTTCTTCTGTGGGCTGGGTCTTCCACACCCCTCTCTTATCCACCCTTTTCGCCTCGTATTTGGACAAATAATGAACAATTTGAAATCCTGGATTGATTTTCACCGTGGTTAATTGCGCATTTGCTGCCCCTCGCATCTAATTTTGTGCAAGGCACTAGGAAGTTCACCCCAATAACATTAGATTTCTATATTGACAAGCGTCAAGTACCATCGATAAGCACTACGCCACATGTATATATAGAAATATTCAGGTATCGAGATCGTGAAATGTTTGAGGAAGAAATCATTTTGAGACTTCACGGTACATGGGATTCGTGAAGCACGGCAAAGTTATTTCGTGTCGCACTGCCATGGAGGCTAAACCCTACCAGTGTCTTTTTCTTGATATGATACGATATAGTGGATGAGATGAGACTGAATTACCCGAGAGGGAATATCGAATTGTACCAAAATGATGTAGATCCTCTATTTCCCAGCTTCGGGAACGAGCTCTTCCGCTGGCAGCCCCAGAATTACAAGGGAGGGCTTGCTCGAATAATCATACTATGTTACGGCACGCAGGACTGGTCAAGGTCTAATTAGAACAGGAGTCCGCGGCTGTACAATCGACACAAATCAGTATTTGAGGCGAGATTTAGTTTATGAGCCACTTTACGACTCTAAGATCAAACTTGCGACCAATATCCAGTGGAATTGCTTGAGCAGCGAGTAATTGGGCACAATTTCTTTTCGGGGATTTGCTTCACCAATTCATTCTTGAAAGATATATCCCCTGTTTATGAATGATTGGACAGCCCAAGTTCTATCCTAGATCTCTGGATATCACTTGAAAACTAGTTTTTGTATAGTATCTTTGTTTACATTCCTGTACAATTATGTTCTAGCCCTTCTATTAAAGTGCTATCAAGGTGGAATTTCAAACTAACGGTAATATCACTTGTGCCTCGGATCCTGGAGAGCCAGAAGGAGGACGGAATCTTCAAAATCGTATTTGATTAAATCACAATCCTTATCTAGCATGAACAATCTAGATGTTTGAAGGAATTGACTAGTATCCCATCCTACAAAGCTTAATAAACGCAATCATAATTTCAGAGCGGCGCCCGCAATGGGTGGGATTAGCTATGACCGTGTGGCTTTGGAGCTCACGGTTAAAACCCACGGCACCCTCGGGTGCAACCCACCTGCATAGACCGCTCACCCTATTTTCAAAATTATCGTCAAAATGGTGGATGTCAGGAAGTGCTTAAGTTTTCTCGACCAAGCTAGCAGCGTTACTGTAGCTTGCCATTTCGGTCCTCCTAATGCCAAGACCCCTTTTCAGACTAGCGTACATGCTCTACAGTACAGTACAAAATCTCTAGTCAATGCAGAACTGAAAGCTCAAAGCCCCTTGGTCTCTGTTGATGCCAGTTCAATTGATAAGCTAAATAATTAACAGTTTGTCCTCAATCTGAGCCACACAGAGAAGACTCAATGTCTGATTCGTGAGCGAGCTACATTCACGTTAGAACACTTGCTTACGATTGATTAGAGCAATCAGAGAGACTCTCTGCATCTCTAGAGAAAGTGGCTGGCTCATTTTGAGCGTTAAATGACGGTTATGCTATTGTTCATGTATCGGACTTAGCGTTGCCTTCAGGTCAAATGGTGCTACTGTTAGCCTTACGACACAGAGAGCGCATATCCGGGTATTGGGAATGGCGGTTGATTATAAGTGCGGAGGTTTCTTTTATCTTTTGAATGAAAGATCACTGCTAATGGAAGGTTCTATCTCTGTAATGAATCCGATTGTAATGTTGGTGTTTATTGTTCTATAGTTGTGGTTATCAGATAGATAATTGTTCTTTTAGTAGATGACGCCACGCTATATTTTACATCATGTTGCTACAAAATAGCGTACATCATATGATTAATAATTTTTACTGGAATATAGGTAGAGCTGGCAACAGTTTGATCAAGTTATGGTAGCCAGCTAAATTGGAGGAATAATCCCGAGAGAGATTTACAGGTTCCAATTTGCTCCATTGAGCCTCATGGTTAGATTGTATTTGCTTGGAAATTTTCTGAACGTGGCATACAGACCATTCGCAAAAGTAATAAGATTCTAGGGTATCTTACTAGTGTGTTGCAGAGTATTTTGCAAGGTATATGTATGTCAATTGCCTATTCCCACAGTCTCTAGGGTCGCGAAACATCTTGCTACTTTTGCGAAGGGGCTGTACAAATATTGTCACATCGACAATCAAGCCAGATCCAAATTATAACGTTTGAATAGAAATATGGTCACTAGCTTATTGCTTTTTGGGCGAATCGTGTCGACGTATATACCTTGATCCAATCGCAATTCTTGCTTTCTCTCAGTCAACGAGTATAACCGTTTCCACCCAACCTACAGCACTATTGCGCACATGATTGAGCAACTCCCTGCCATGGTAACATGAACGCTACTTCCGTTGAAAAGGATTCAGTGTAATGCAGAATCTATGGAGCGGACCGCTTGAATGAGCATGGAGTCGCGAGGCGCTCCCTCCATCAAGGTAATTACCAGTATTGCCAATTTTCCGACTTGCAACTAGGGAACATCTCTCCCTTCTGAAAAGAATTTGAATTTGTCTTCTTATAATCCACATTGCTACAAAAAGTCTTTTCTCTGAACTAAATCTACCATTCGTTACCAACCATGGAAACAGATATGGAACTTAAGGATCGGAACGTGGCTCACGCGCTCAATGGCGGGCCATATACAAATGTGGAGCGCAACGGCACCAATTCTCATAATAGCGACGTGGAAAAGCTGGACCGTATGGGCAAAAAGCAGATCCTCAAGGTACACTATCGGTTTTTGTTTTCGAAAACTCCGACCTAAAGCTTCGATCGTTTCTGACAGATGTAGCGTCGATTTGGATTCTTATCGCTATTTGGGTTCAGTTGCACTATTCTAATTACCTGAGAGACCGTGTTGGCGTAAGTTTCATGCTCTCGTGGGATTGAGGCATACACTAATTGTATGAATAGACTGTTTGCGTCAGGTTTGTACAAGTTTGTCGTCCGATCATTACCACTTTTCAGCGACTGGTTTCAGACCAGTGGAGGGCCCACTGGCCTTTTGTATGGATTTATCATCGCTTGGCTTTGTACTTTGTCGGTTTATACTGTAATTTCTGAATTGGCTTCAATGTAAGTCTTCCACACCAAATGAAGTTGCCCAAAGGCTTACCGGTAGTCATGAAGTGCACCCATTGCTGGCGGCCAGTACTTTTGGGTATCTATGCTAGCGCCTAAAGGCCAGAAACAATTTTACAGCTATATTACTGGTAAGTCATGGCTTTAGTACATAAATCCGTTATTCTTATTGCTCAATATTAGCATGAAGTCGACTCATGAGCTAAAAATTGATCTAGCTTGATTGACGACTATTGCGTGGGTTGCAACACTTGCCACAGGTGCTATATACGTCTGTGCCATTATCCGAGGGATGGTCATTCTCAACCACCCAGAATACAGTCCGAAGGCATGGCATGCTACACTTTTGAGCTGGGGGGTTATCGCAGTGTGTATATTCCTCAATACCGTGATTAGCAAATGGCTTCCCAAGGTTGAAGGCTTTATCCTGATTTTTCATATTTTGGGCTTTTTTGCTATTCTGATCACTGTTGTTTATATGGCCCCACATGGATCAGCGAGGAGTGTGTTCCTCACTTCTCTGAATGGAGGGGGCTGGTCAAGTCAAGGACCGTCCTTTTGTGTTGGTTTCATTGGAAATGTTGCAACTTTTGTTGGTGAGTCTCACATCCAATATAATACTCTAATATTTTTAACTGTTCTTCTCAAGGTGCCGATGCTTCGGTACATGTCTTCGGTACATGTAAGTTGTCCATGACGGTCCTATTAAATCAACGACTGACTTTGTAAGATGGCGGAGGAAATCGAAAACGCTGCTGTGAATGTTCCGCGGGCAATTTTCACCACAATGGTACTCAACGGCGCAATGGGCTTTGCTATGATGCTAGCTATCCTATTCTGTATTGGAGATGCTGAGGAAGTTTTGGTAAGTCGAAAAGCCTCGGACTTAAGATTTTTTTATAATAACCAGGCTGGTAACAGGCAACGGAGACCGGGTTTCCTTTCATACAAATATTTTACAATGTCACTGGCTCCAAGTCTGGGACCACCGTTATGGCATGCCTTGTCACCGCCTTGTCCTGGGCGGGGACCATCGGCTTCACCGCCACAGCTTCCCGAATGCTTTGGTCATTCGCACGCGATCGCGGAGTCCCTTTCCACCGAACTGTCATGAAAGTAGGTTCTATTTCTTGGTTACACAGGCACAAACTAAATGAATCCTAATAAATCAAACTTCAAATGTCAATCAGAGGTGGAACGAAAGTATTCAAAAGGTGTTGACCTGACACGCTCTATCAGAGAGGCACTCAATGAACATTGGATATTGTGTCAGCGACGATTGCTAATATTTACTCAAAGGTCGAGCGCCGTACTCAAATACCCATGGTAGCCGTTGGTGTAGTAACGACCCTTCCCGCTCTTCTTGCTTTGATATATATCGGCTCCAGAGCAGTCTTTAACGATGTGGTTTCCTTGTCCGTCTCCGGTTTCTACGCTTCTTACCTTCTTCCCTCCGCACTACTTCTGTGGCGCCGGACAACTGGCCAGGTTGCTGAGGCTGTAACACTAGTAACAGAAGGTAATGCTACAGTGGGACGAGGAGGTGAGAAAGTTCTACATATGCCACTGGTTTGGGGTCCGTGGCGTGTTCCTGGCATACTTGGCATTGCAAATAATGCTTTCGCGTGCGTATATATGGTTTATGTCATATTTTGGAGCTTCTGGCCTTCAGCTACTCCAGTTACACCGGAATCGATGAATTACAGCGTACTTGTCACTGGAAGTGTGATTATCTTCAGTGTTGCTTACTACATTTTGATGGGCAAAAATCAATATGTTGGACCGTTGGTTGATTCGGAAGTCATCATAGAAGATATTGAGAGGACCTAGAAATCTAGAACGGTGTAAAGGCATCTCATATCGACGCAGCTCATGTAACACGGATTCATCTCAGTTGCGGGGTTCAGTTTGAAAGTATTTGCTTCTCAAACAGTGTTGAAGATGGAAATGCGGATAGGGGAAAAGATTAATTAGCGACAAAAGAATGGGTTTGGTTGTTTCAAGAACATGTTCACACCACCTTGAAATAGTCTAGTCAGACTCTCCAGGTCATATGAAAATGCATTTCAGAATTTGGCTCTCATGTTTCTATTTCCATTTTGCGCGTGACTACTGAAGTCGATCCCTCCATTCTGGTAAGAGCTTTTAAAACAGTAATATCGTGAGGAGTTCTAGCTAGAGTTCCAGCCGAGAAAGGAGCGAGCAGCTCATTTCCCCGCTCGCAACTTTCTCCCTTCTAATCCCAGAACCTGATTATACACAACCCACAAGATTTTCCTCATCAACAACGCTGAATAATAGACCTCCTATTCTCACAACTGCAAACTTGTGCACACCGGAGCTGGTCGTCCTGACTGTGTTGTTTCAAAAAAAAAGTTCAAGGATGAGAAGCCGGAAAAAACATAAATACAGGGGTTAAGAAGTGTCATTGTGAGTCAACCTCTACGTCTTCTTCTAGTTTGCCGCTACGGGGTTGGTTTTAGGCTTTCTATTTCCTACCCTACCTTTCTTAAATGCTGTCGTCTCATTCCTTTCATCAATGATCCGCCGAGCTCAAACAGATCTATGGTCTTTGGAAATACCAGACAACAGATACACCAAAGGCTACCATGAAATGGGCCGGAGTAATAAGAAATTACATTCATAGATTGTGCTATCTCTCTGCTTGCGACATACATCAACCTATCTAATTTTCAGACCGATTGTTGAAGTTTATTCTCAACACCAGCAATAATGAAGCGGCCAGGACCCAAATTCTCGTACTGACAAGCTTCGTAACTCAACCTATAGCTAAGTTTTCCTCATTTATGAGATCTTACTTCGCTATAGGTGACAACTCTAAGTCAATTGAGCAGTGTATCTCCACGTCTTGCCGGTTACCTCACAGTGGTAATCATGCCAACTGGCACAACCATGTGCTTTTCTGGACATTCATTCAATGGACATTTTATGAAACCTCTTCTCCATTGAAGGGTTTTCAAAATGTCTCCAACATTTTTCAAAACCTCAAAGCATACCTCCCCGATCTTACTACAAAAGATGTGGTATTCAGGGTCCTTCTTTATGAGGCGCACGTAATGTTCGACCGCATATTTAATACATGATTTTCTCAGACCAGTATTGTTACCTTGCTTTCCGTCAAACACGACGGTATCACGCTAAGGACTCTGGAAAAGGATGAAATACAGTCCGGATGAGCAGCCTCAAGAGCAGTCTCAAATTTCTTCTCTGGCAGGTCCTTAAGGCCTGTCAGAAGGCATTTTTCCGCCAGGGCGTGAACTTGTTGATGTATAAGAAGTAGAGCATTGTCGTCTTCGGTGTCGGTACCGCTGGAGGAAGCGATAGAGTGATGACAAGGTCTAGTATTTCTGGATTGTCATCATCAAATGTTATATATAATTCCGGTTTGGGCTTCCTAGGAATAGAATCTAGTTGAATTTATCGGTAGCTCAGATTTCCAAGGAAGGAGAGCTACTTGCCTTGTAGTCATATTTTAGGCAAGCACTCATAAAAGGTACTCGCGTGCAGACTATTGCTCTGTGGACTTTGAATTGAAGATGTGATCTCTGCAGCGAATTTCGAGATCGGCGTAGGTTGGATCATTGAGTAACCTAATAAGATAACTTAGCAACACTTAAGAGTCTGTTGTGTGTAACTTACGAAGCTACAGATTCGATGGTTTCCATTTTGTCACTAGGATGAAGAAGGACAAGGCAGGTGGACCTCGTTGTAGGGGACCAAGAAGGCTGTATTGTGGGTTAGCACCAACTCAAAGTAGAGGGGCGTTTGAAATCCTACAGTACTTATTGATATTCTGTATGGCAGTACACGGAAACTTTCCGAAGGGGTGTCCGTAGAAGAAAGCTCTCAGAGATGGTACAGGTGGATATCTGATAGTGTAGGTAGAACAGGCAGGTACCCAATCTTAGAGATTGGTATTTTATAGGTTCATCCGGAGCAAGCTACCACTTGTGGAGGGTTTGCATATAACCCGTGAATGAGCCATATTAATAGATGTCAATTCACTTCCGTTCATGTAGATTTGTGATATAACTGCTGCAATTGGACTCCATTGAAGGAGGCATAGTAGCTCTTTGAATGAAATCAAGTCCACAAACCCCTGTTTGGACGTTTTATTCTTTTCTTACTTCACCTAGTAGCTCATGGGTATTGTCCTAGAAAGGAAAGTTTCAAATAATACAGAGGGACCAAGATGTAGAAGATACACATATTTATTAGATTTTGTGTGTCTTCATGAAGCTCTTAGGACTCTAGAAAATAGAAACTATGCTGTGGAAGAAAGGGAGCGAAATCTCGCTTAAATGGGATACCGAAGTGAGTACACTGTTGTAATCAGTTTGCTCGAGTATTTGTAAACTGCCTATATCACTAGTTTAGTCCTATTCTTGGTTGGATTCAATGGAGGAAAAAGGTATGAATGAAAGCGCTTGGTCAAGGTTCTTAGAGCTCTAGGAAGAGTTAGAACGAAAGATAGTGGTTTGATTTATAGATAGCATATACTATGGCCAGCATAGTCCAAGGTCTTATAACAACAGATTCATTCCATATATAACCAATGTCCCCGATTCGCCATTTCTCCGCGGTTCTCTTGCTTTTGTTCGAGAGAGAGAGAGAGAGAGACGTGGTCATTGCTTTGTAATCTCACACAACTCGCTTAGAATAATATTATCCTGGAACCTCCGTACAAGTAAAACAGTTGTATGAATACCGTCCAGTAATTGTTGATTTCCGCTGCTTATCGTACTAGATTTGCTGGGATAACCAAGTTTATTGTGCCAGACATTTGGCATAATGATTCTTCATGGTGTGTATAGAGTAATAACCGAGCCGCGTACATTTGCCTACTGAGTTACCTGTTAACTCTGACGTCTTCTTTCCGAAAGTCACTTTGAAAAAGTGAGCTGTCAGAAACATGGAAATCAACTCATTTCTTCTTGAAGAGAACCATTCAATTAGCAGCAGACATTGAGATGTGCAGGAAAGAAGAGAGCAGATAAAGACTACAAAATCTTCAAATGTCCGTATGACTCCATATCCCTCGAAACTTCTGCCTCCTACAGCTCCTCATTGATTGCCATTACCGAACCTCGTAATCCTAGCGCAAGGGCGACATTCGTAAACACGACTGCCATCAGGTCACCGGGAATATCAACTCCACAACGCGAACATTTGATATATTGTACCTTATCCGCAATCACCTTCATGATTCTAACACACACCGCCCCGTTCTCCGCACAGAAATTTCGGTAGTCCCGGAATGTAAACAAGGTTTTATTGTGCAAAGCCGCGAAGTCAACACACATGGTCTGGAAGATCTCGTTTTTCTCAGGACAGCCTTTCATGATGGTACTAAACACCTCGGTAAATAGTACAGGGGCAAGGTTGCGCAGCGCGCTCTCAAACTTGCTGATGGAGAGGGCGCGGAGTTCATCCAGAAGGTATTTATCCGCGTGGGTGTGGATTTGGGCATGGACGAGGAGCTCTGCGTTACTGCGGTAAACGCGTTCATTGTCGCGGGCCTCGGGTATCTCCACAGTGTAGTCGCCGGTGTAGAGGAATTGTATGAGGAGCTCCAATACCTCGGGCGTATCATCTTCAAGGAATATGATTCCTGATTTCAACTCCTAAGAGGAGAGTAAAGAGTTAGCAAATTAGATGGGCCCAAGACCGTTATTGTTCCAAGAGAATGCTTACCTGAAACTCCCATTTCATGCATGCCGCAAAGAATTTGACCTGGGTACATACAACCACTTTGTGTACCTTAAAAACGCATCCATTGCAACGAATTTGAAGGTCGACGTATGTTGGATCGTTTAGCAATCTATTTTCTTGAATTAGTAGCCTGGTCTAAAAGCTGTCCATAGAGAAGGTCTTACGAGGCGAATGTTGGTACTGGCATCTTGTACAGGAATTTGGTGGTTGAAGATTTATAGTAGTGTCAGTCAACTAGCACCAAACTTTTCGCGTCGGTCAGTGTCAACAAAAGAAAGTTGAGCTAACCAAGATATTGCCTACTGTAGCAGAACCAGTGAATGTTTAGTAAAAGATTGTAGAAGCCGAAGTTGTTCCACAAAGGATTTCATTAGCGAAAGGATGGATTGCTTAAGAATGTAATACAGGAGGAAGATTTCCATAGAAGACATAATCACGAAGCCTTGATGGGAAACCACATTTGGCCCAAAGGATCCCATGAGGGACAGTCAGGCTAACTGTAGGGTTACCGAAGTAACGTCGCTCATCGCTCCAAGAGAGGACTACCGGAAGTATCAAAGGTGGTAAACCAGAAATCTGCACGCATCTGTAGAGTAATATCAGGATCACCTACTACGATAGTAGCCAAGGCATCGGAGAGATTGGTATAAGGGCGAAGACCATTTAGTCCGAAAATATCGAGTGGACAATCAGCGCTGATCATATGAAGGACCGGAATGTCACATTTGGGAAGGGCGACGAGGGTGTCGATGGTTGACTGAGTAGGGAATGGTGTATCAGGAGTCTAGACCGGACCGAGATCCTTCTTCTGCGCCAAGTAGCGTGATTTTAACGTTTTAATTGGAAAGAGAAGGATGAAGATAAATACTTCTATAATAGAGGTTGAAAACACTCGAGTAGAATCAATTAATACTATAGAAGTAATTAATTTAATAGCGTATAACGTGGTTTATCAGCGAGTCGATCATATCACCGAGTCGATCACTTTTCCTTGGCACTACCTCCTCAAACTTCAACACACGTTTTCTTCAACTATTTACCATGGAAATTCAAACTCAAGAAGCGCGAATTACTCTAGCTATCGAGGCTATTCGGTCGTCCAAAAAACTAAGCAAACGCTCTGCGGCAAAGATCTACAATGTACCATATACGACTCTTTCCGACAGAATGGCTGGCCGAACCTACCGCCCAGATTCTCAAGCCAATTGTCATAAGTTGACTGAGTTAGAAGAGGAAGTGATTATTCGGTATATACTGGATATGGATTCCAGAGGATTTGCGCCCCGGCTCGCTGGTGTAGAAGATATGGCTAATTTTATCCTTGAATCGCGGGGGGGAAGACGCGTCGGCAAGCTCTGGGCCCATCGATTCGTACAACGACAACCAGACCTTAAGACGCGTTTTAATCGCGTTTACGACTTCCAGAGGGCCTTATGCGAAGATCCTGACGTGCTAGGCGCATGGTTCCGGCTAGTAGAGAATATGAGGGCGAAATATGGGGTTACAGACTCCGACTTCTACAACTTCGACGAGACAGGCTTTATGATGGGTGTTATTTGTCCTAGAATGGTTGTTACTCGTGCAGACCGACGTGGTAGAGGCAAGGCAGTTCAGCCAGGCAATCGGGAATGGGCTACAGCAATTGCCTGTATTAATGGGGAGGGCTGGAGTATTCCTCCATTCTTGGTAGTTCAGGGCAAGAACCATCTCTCCAACTGGTATACCGACGGCGGCCTCCCACCTAACTGGGTTATGAAACCGACAAGCAATGGTTGGACAAATAATGAAACAGGCCTGGAATGGTTAAAGCACTTTGATAAACACACTACAGCTCGTGCAAAGGGTCTGTATCGAATACTAGTTTTGGATGGGCACGAGAGTCATGAATCGGCTGAGTTCCAAGACTACTGTACGAAACACAACATTATTACTCTTGGACTACCTCCTCATTCATCCCATCTAACCCAGCCACTTGATGTTGGGTGCTATAGTGTGTTAAAACGAGCGTATGGTCGGCAGATTGAGACGTTTATCAAGGCCCATATCAACCATATTACAAAGGTTGAGTTCTTTCTAGCCTTTACAGCAGCATACAAGGAAACAATGACAGTCCTAAACTGTCAGTCTGGATTCCGCGGAGCTGGCCTAGTACCATTTAACCCGCAAGCAGTGCTTTCAAAGCTTGACGTAAGGTTACGGACTCCAACTCCCCCTCGGACGTGTAGTGCCAACTCCCTCCCCTGGGTGTCCCAGACCCCTTCCAACCCAACTGAAGCCCTTTCACAATCAACTCTTGTACGAAATCGTATAGCCTGTCATCAAGGAAGCTCGCCAACTCCACTTTTTCAAACAGTTGCTGCGTTAGCAAAGGGTACAGAGCGAATGGCACATGAGATGACCCTTTTGTCTGCTGAGGTCCGTACCCTTCGCGCTGCAAATGAAGCCCTAAGTAAACGCCGTAGGGCTAAAAAGACTCGTGTCCGCCAAGGAGGGGCACTTATAGTAGAGGATGTACAGGATATGTTAGCTCAGGAGGATGTAGATGAGCAAGTACGACGCGACATGCGTGAGGCGGGGGTTGGTTATAAGGAGGGGCAACCTTCTAGGCGGCGCTGTAGAACTTGTGGAAAAGCTGGTCATAACGCGCGAACTTGTCAAGAAGTTATAGATATATCTAGTTCGTCAGATATAGAGAGCGATAATTAATTTAATATATTGTGGTTGATTTATTTAGGTGTAAAGTTCTGTGCCAAGAAAAAGTGATCGACTCGGTGATATGATCGACTCGCTGATAAACCACGTTATATGAAATATAATTTAGATATAATTTTACAAGAGAGTTTAACAGATATCTATTCACGCTTATATAAATTATACTTATATTTTGTATTTACTATTTCTTCCGTAAAGAAGAAAAGTACAATAAAAGCTAACTATTATTATTATTTTAGTAATTTAAGCTAACAAAAATAGTAAATTAAACGCTATTGGAGAAAAGATTTATAGAATACATTTTACTTAGTATAATAGAGTTAACCTAATTTATTATGATAGTTATTTAGATTATGTGAGAGGCCAGACCTCGAATAGCTCAAAGATGTGGTTTCGAATATTCAATTAAGAAGTGCGTGAAGACTACATACATGCGAGCTCTTCCTCTATATATAGAGAGGAAGAGCTTCCTGAATATTCCAAGAAACTTGCAAGAAACTTGAATGACGAATACATGATGTCAGAAGAACAAAACAAGAAAGTGTGGAAAAGTAGAAACCTGTTTGGCAGTGGGGTAATGGCCAGTGCTAAGCAGGGACTTTGGTCAGTGCTTAACGAGGACTTTGGTCAGTGCTTAGCGAGGGCATGGCCCGAGCCTTCATCATGGGTTCCAACCCTCACAGATTAATAAAAACACGTAATTGAAATCTCTGTAAGGAAGTAGTAGAATTTCCACTCCCTTTAGTATAACTAACGGTAATTAATACTATGGCGTTGCTTATTTAGATTAATAAAAACTTCTAAGATCTCTTTATAAAATTAGTAGAAGTTCCTCTTTCTTTGTCGTAAATAAAGTTAATTTATACTATTATATTTCTTATCTAGGTTACTAAAAACCCCTAATTCGACCGCCTTCAAAAACATAGTAGAGATTTCTTTCGAGGTCGGCGGAATATATAGCTACTAAAAGACCAATTGCCTGGCACATAGCGAACAATAATAACTAGATGGCTAGATAAGTGTGAGGGTTAGAACCCATAGTGGGGCTCGGGCCAAGAGCCCTCGCTAAGCTAAGCGACCCCGCCTCTGGAACGCCATGGAATAAGATAGAATGCTATGACGCAGAAGATTGGTAATACTATGAAACAGTGTTGAATGCAATGGAAATGCTACATTTAGTATAAGAGTAGAGGAGGAACATGTATTTACAGACCACGTAGTTCTTAATTGAATATTGAACCCACACCTTTGAGTTGTTCGAGGTCTGGCCTCTCACAATAAGCTATAAAGATCATTATCTTTCGATTATGAAGTATAACTACTTCCGAGAGTAGAAGCATCTCCACGCGCAGACGTAGACCGCCTATCGTAAGACATTGAAGGTTCATACGTACAACCCTTTTAGGGCTTATCGAACATAGCTCGACTAGTAGCGGCAATCTGGGCTGACTAAGCCATATACAGCTATACGTATAGCAAATCTGAGGTATTCTTCTACTCTTGAAAAGATTTCTTATAGATATTATCCTATATCTATTAAAACCCTAACTAAATACCTAGTAGTTGAATTTCTCAGTAAGCACGAGGATTAAACTTAATAATACCGGGTTCTATCCATAGTTTAACTAAGGCCTTCTTCGAATTAGTAGTAGAGTGGAGTTATACTATTTCTTTATATAACTAGACTAATAAAAATATTCAAGTAAAATCCGTCGAAAAAGGAAAATAATTATTCTAGAATAGTTAAACCTTTTAAGTAATTCGAACAAAGTTTACTAATAATAGCCTTTTCTAAGTGTTCTTTTTACTCTAGTTGTCACGGATGCCAACAAAGGATAAAGTGTATACAGCTTTTGAATCAATTGCTAGAACTAAAACCGTAGGTACGAAGAAATCAAACTAAAGAGAGAAGAGAATCTGAAAGGAGCGAAGTTATTTAAGTTGTTCCAATGCCAAGTCTCGTCACGTGCTTGGCCAAGCGAATGAAATCCTGTCAAATGAAATCCAGCTCCGTCACACTAGTTAGTCTATATTAGAAAGGTCTGAAAAGATTATACGAAAAATCTTATAAAATTACTACTTATAACTTAGGTATATATATATATTCTAGTAGAGGAACTAGTGTTCTAACTCGAGAACTGGCCCGTTACATAAAGCTCCAGTTGACGCCTACCAGCCTCGTAGAGGAAGCGAAGAAGATTTATTTGGACGAAATGTCCAAACCTCCCTACGGCTACTACCCGACCATCCCCACCCGGTGATCGTGGCGTGTATAAGTCTTGTTGTCGTGAGTCTGGTGGCGAAAGCAGATAGGAGATTCCGTTCCGTGGCGTAGATGGCCTGGACGAGGAGCGTGGCGTTCACGGTTGGTGTTGTGGCTGCGGTCTTTTATAGTAAAGATATAAGGTAGAGATTAAAGGGCTTTCTCTATATAAAGTTGGGTGTTTTTATACCCCGGTAATGTGATTTCAGGCGGGGTTGTTATGATTCGACGCCAGAGAGGATAACGGATACAGGCGATGAGCGGCGAAGAATAAAATACCATAGATTATCAGGGTTTCTCGATCGAAAAATTCTTATCGGCTTCGGCAATTTTGAGAAGTCTCCAGTAGGCGACCTGACTGCTGCTTTTCTGTCCGCCGAGACCAAGTGTAGTTCGCTTGGAACATACGGAGTAGCTGGATGGTTAGGTATGAGTCCACGTGACTTACAACCGCAAGACTTACACTACCTGAAAGCGCAAACCTCTTTGCGAAAGCTATAAAATTTGAATCTTGTTATCTTTCTATAGATATGGTGAGTGAGTTTATCGTAGAGTCTTTTGGTTTGGTCCTCACTTTTTGTGAGTGAGTGATTGATTCGTTGATTATGGGATGAATGCAGAGTCTAGGTGTGAAAAGAGGGGAGCGTTGGGAGACTTAAGCTGTGTAGCTATAGGAGACCTCTTTTCTGTTAGACTATGCTAGGCGAGAGAGGGGTTAATCACTCCCTGTGCTTCTGTAGATGGGTCGCAGATAGATCGTGTGACCATATTTCTATTAGTTGCCTTGGTAAAACCTTCTGTCAATTTAGTGTCTATATGCATCGAAATAGAGGAAAGCGGGATCAAAATAATCGTTATATGCGATGCGACGTTTAGAGCGGTCTCTGAAGAAATGAATAATAGCCAGCGTAGTGTGTTAAACAAGAAAAGGGACTTCTCGAATCCTTGAAATAAACACTACTGTACCAATAAACTCCGCCTTTCTCCATCCTCTATACTGTCCTGTGCATAGCCTATTTTAACCTGATGACTCAAGGTCTTTCCACGGTTTATAGCGGACTTGACAAATCATGACCAGGGTTACAGAATGGCTGTGTAAGTCTGCGAGTATCCAAATCTCGCTTTTATATTCAAAACATACATAAGCCTTCTCTATTGGGTACCAGCATACCACTTTCTACATCTCCCTTCAAACCACTTCGAAAACATAACACTAGGTCTATCAATCCACCTCTCCACCTGGCCCGAAATACCAAACACGATCCCCGTAAACATCCCAAACCAAATCACGCAAACAACCCAATGCATAAAACCCCCAGCTTTTGGTTGAACGCCCACAAGCCAACATAAAGTTCTTTGAAGCGCCAATCCAAAAATTATAATGCAGAATTCATGAACAAGATAGAGAGAAAAAGATATCTTGCCGAAATATTGGCAGAGATTGCTTTCAAATACCCGTTTGAAGCGGGGTAGTTGGGATATGCATAGTAAGATTGAGACTCCTGAGATGGACCACCAGAAACGCCCGAGATCCATGAGATGGATGTTCTTTGGTGTGAGTGCGCGCAAGGTCTCGAAGCCGGGCATGGGATTGGTGAGTGTTTCGGGCGTCCCCATTGTTGGGAGACCTGCGATGTAGAATGCGACGATGAGGATGATTGTGTATATTCTGACTTTCTTTGGGGATGGAGGTGGATTGTCTTTTTCTTCTTGACTGAGAGTCAGATTTGAGATGAGAATCCCGGCTGTGAAGCAGAACATATTCCAGCTTCCTATTCCCATATAGAGAATTGAGAGTACTGAGAGGAGGGCAACCCTTGCTGTATCGCTAGGAATTCGTGTCATGATCAGAAGTAATGAGTAACACGCCAACGAGCCGTAGTACTCCAACGGAATGGTCCATATCACAGCGTCATATTTGGGGTGATCTACGACTGAACCGAGAATCGCTTGTTTGGCGTTGAAATACGGGTTGATGAGTTTATTCGTTTCCCACAACCAATCCTTGAACTGCTCCGCAAATGTTGGCTCCATCACGAAGCTAAAGCTCAAAGGCGGATAGAAACCAAATCGAGTTGCAATCATCTCACAGAAAGTGAGAATGACAGGCGGAAGAAACAGTCTGAATCCTCTTCGGAAAGCAGATGATGCAACGGCTGGATAGACCAGATGAGCTGAGCCCTTCCGTATCGCTTTCATGGATTTGTAGGTAAGTACATATCCGGAAAGAGCAAAGAATACTGCGACTGCACTCCCTCCCGAGACGAAAATGGTTCTAATAAGCGGCATTTGGAAAACCGAGTTTTGATTCGCGTCCGCGTGCCATGCTGGAACAGTGCTTGCCCAAATTGCCATGGCGTGGAAAATATATACGGTGAGTGCTGCTACGCCACGAACGCCATCGAGCCATGATGTCGTGGTTATCCGAAGAGAATCCGGGGGAGGATAGCAGAGAAGAGTTTCTAGGGTTGATGAGATATTTTGATTTCCAAGAGATGATTTTGGAGTTGTGAACGGGGGTGCAGATCCTGAGCCATTTTCGAGGTCACGATTTCGCTCCTCGTGTTCTTTCAGTTTTTCCTCCTCGGCACTCAATTTACCACCATCTGTTGGCATTGTAGCTGAGAAGTTTAAAGGACAATCTCATGTCATGAATAATGCAATTGACACGTCCCGATCATGCAGGTGACGATCTCAGCTCGTGTGTCGCGTCGTGAAGCCTTTGATGACGAAGAAATGGAGAACCAAGGGGCCTTCAGGGGTTGCGGTTAAATGTGTCCACTTTGACAGGGGTCGTAAATGAGTATTTGAATCCCCACAAGCTGGCTTCTTTTCTTTCAAAAACCACCAACGAAAGAACTATCAATGAGAGAGACTTGGGGAAAATGACACTCAGCCCCGACCGTTAAACGGTTATTGTGACAGCTGCAAGGTCTGTGCCTATGTGTCCCTTTCGATGGTGAAACAAGAAACAACGACCGCCTATGGAAGGCATCTCAAAATCCAACGCCAAAAGGAATATCCAAAGGAACATACACATTCAACCGTTTTTGATATTGGGATATTCGGTGTGCTCGTAAACGACAATAAGACCAGTTGTGAGTTTCGGTATTGATATATTTTGGGTTGACTCTTGAAGTCGAATCCAGTTGAGATACAGGCCGCAGCCCGGCTAGGGCAGATATGTAAGCAAAACGACAGGATACATAGCTATTTCAAGGACTATTTTCTGCGGAGACGGATTTTGGATTTTTCAGAAGATTTATCTTATTCTACCTCAATAAATCAGACTTCCCCCAAAAGTCGGGCTTTAAGAATCTCGGTTACAACCTCGGCGCACGGACCGGCTCGGCTGATCTCTCATTAACCGGGCCGGGCTCAGCCGGGGCTCTTATCAGAGCAGAGCATCTGGGCTTGGAGATAAAAAGCCAACAAGATAAAAAGGTATAGAAGTATGATAGCTCCTACATACATGCATTCGATCCCGCCATCTTTCCCTTCAAGCTAACCCGCGGTTTCTTTTATACATCAATAAAATCACAGAAGTTTTCACGCCTTAATATTTCAACGAATTATACAGTGGTAAAAGTTCACATTGGCACCAGGCTACATTTTTGAAGAAAGAGTTGACTTCAGGATAAATACCTCAAGAATCCAGGTACAAACTCCTAACATCCCGAACTCCATCCTACATCCAGTAATTACACGCCAAACTAGCAAAGCGATGACACATCCAAACATTTCCCACGAAAAGGAAGTCCTTCATATGTGATTCAGAACTCGAAAGAAAAGTACCCTATTCTCTTAACCAGTCCTTCTATGTCGTCAAAACCCTCTATAGAGGTCAATTGGTCCAACTACATCGTCAAAATCCGTGCCTACATCTTCGAAAGTCATACCCTGGTCAGTAATCGTATGGTTGGGTGATGAATTAGAAGCACACGGGACGCTTACCATATTACAGTGAGGCGTCTGGCAGTTGCCTACTAGATGACATCTACTATGAAGATAACAAAAGTTGTCTTCGTATCTTATTCTAGGATCTCGAAGATTGCGTTCTCCATTCTTCATGAAAAGATCAACCAGAAGATCCTGATCTTCGATGGAAGCTACCAAAGCACGGATCTCGTCTGCCGGTATCTCTCCGTTGTTCTGCTGCCGATGAACACAGATGAATAGTTCACTAGTGAAGAGTCGCAATTTCGAGTTCGGCTTCGTATTTTCGTATGCCGCAAGCAAGGCCTCGAGCGTGATGGCGAATGATTCGGCATGGCAAAGAGACTGTACTATATCCATGGTCTTATTCATCAAAGCAGCGTCATCGATCTTCTCGGCGAAAACATAGAGGGAGAATAGATTCGAAATGTGTTTTTTCTTCAACTCGATGGCGGCTTCTGGTAGCAAGTGAATGGTTGGCGGGCAAGGAATGTTTCCGAGGTACAAATAGTCGACTAGTAAATGGATTACTGAGGGGTCATCATCTGGGAGCGAAACTTCGCCAGAGGACTCGAGGAATCGACCGTTGAAGGCTCTGTCAAAGAAGTCAATCATGCAAATGAGAGTCTTGTGAACCTTGAAGACTTCGGAGTCCGGTCCGACAAATATTGAGACAATTTCGTTACCCAAGCGGCTTTTATATGATTAGACTTAAAGAAAAGCTTGGGTAGGGGACGCCAAAGACCTACTTTGTAAGACTTGTGCTCTCATTTCGACTCATAGGAGGAATTAGGTTAGCTTGATTATCATCCCCAGCAAAATTCCTGTGCGATGGTCAGAATACCCCGAAAGAAATCCAGATATTCGCTTGAGTCACTTACTGCCCACGGCATTGATGATCCGGGGGCTCGAGACATAGCTAAAGTAAGATCACTATTAGCCAAAATCCTGTCAGTGCGGGCCAAGAGGCTTTCCAGTTCATTGTTCCTCGGTACTTTTCCTTCCTCGAATGTCTATCTTCCTGAATCCTGATAATATTTGGGCGGGGAGAGGGGGGGGGAAATGACTTACTGTACGTTTGCAATAACCAGTCGATACGCTTGTCCGTTCACACTGATGAGTTGCACGATGGAAAAGAATATAAACTTCTCTCAGTGTGATGCGGAATATGCCTGTATGTTATGTGGAAAGGATGGTGTGGATTGGCAAGGCAGGTTTCTCTAATAGACACCCAGGAGACACCCTAGGAGCATTGGGGTTGCTTGACCAATTCTTGATGAATAGGAAAAAGGTTACGCCGCGAAGATGTATCGTCTGCTCAATGATTCTGCACCAGGTGAATCGGGTAGCGACTTGAATTCTAAGGGTTCATCATGATACAAGAAGCGCTTTCTCCATTGTCTGCTATAATCGCATGATGTTATGGGTGGAGCCCAAGAACCTCCGTTCTTACCTTGTCTAATTAGCATGTATATCATCTCGACTCTAACGGGAATGTTCGCGATATGGACGTCGAAAAGGCATGATACATCGTATCTGGTGTTCAGAGACTTGATAAAATGGCGTTCAAACGGAAGATATCCTTCAACAGGGAAATCTTCGAATGTATCTTTGAGGACTACCCTAACACTCACGTCGCATGAATTGTCACTTCCACCAGCTTCGCGTCACGCGGCTCGGTAGACTCTCCAAAATATCGACTTGACCAATTCTACTATTTCAGTCGCCGGTGGAATGAATACACCTGTATATTTAGATTAGTTCCAAACTAGCGCCAAGTTGCCTTTGACGTCGTAGGATACGAAAGTAGCTGGCTTAGTACCACATACGTATTGAAGCAGCTATGCGGTAGTCTGTTGTTCAGACATTTTCATGTACCCGAGGTTAACCAATGTAAATTCAATAGTTTGAAGGTGCTCAGCTATCTGATTTAAGTCTTAACTTCGACGTCCCGATTGTAGTGCTCGCTCTTGTAGTCTAAGTGATTATTGACCTGATCTGTCCAAATCGATAGTATAGCCAGAGAAACGACTTGTGTGTCCTGCAACAGGTCGTCATGCCCCAACTCTAGGAAGCTGTAGAGAATCGTCGAAGTTCACCACTCGGTGTCGAGAACGAAAATAATCACTGTCTGTCTGGGAGAAACGGGGAATTGCTTTATGCCTTCTGCGCACCGTATTGCTGTGTCCTGGCCGGGTAGAAGTATTGGCGCGGTCAACCAAACGCCGCTTCTGGGTCAGTCGATGAAGAATGATAGTTTTATGAGAGGGATCCTTAGACCAAGTGAATCCCACTCCATCAAGCTCCTCCCTCTGGTCACCAGGTTTGTGCGCCGCAGAGGCAATCGAGAGAATTGGAGTAGACTTTTACTGTGCATGTCTGTCACCGTCAGAGAGACACTGGCTTACACCTTATTGCCGACACTCAAGGAAGCGCATGTCCTTCAGTTGGCGGACTCGGTGGCTGGCGCAACGGCCGCCAAATACCCGACGGCCCACAAATCCCCACTAAGCAAAATGATATTCAAGTCCCCAATTAACGAATTTGGTCGCATAGAATCAGCAAGTCTCTTGCCCGGCTGGCGCGACGGTGGCATCGACCATACGCTGGGGTCAACTCTGGGAGTTCTCGTAGACTTGTCCTAGTCCTATCCGGTGTGTTAGGGGTCAGCTCTGGGAGCGCGGGAATGATTGTGGTGGATTTGGTTAGGAAGCCTGCTTCCAGAGGGACAACTGCTGTCCCTCGACAACGTAATAAACTCTTACAGGTTTTACAGGTTTTCCTGAGTCCCCGTTTGGAGACAGACCATAAGATTTTGCTGTTTTTTGGGTTGTTTTTGGATTTTTTTGACTTCCTATTTTGGTTGGGCGGCTAAGCGAAGGCTTGGCAAAACACGGAAAATAACGCGTTCTTGGTGTCGCATACCAGCCAACAGCTGTACTTGGATAGCTGCGCACTGCAACAATGAAAACAGGTATACAAAATTATTGACAGAACTTTGAGATTTTGCCCAGTTCATGGCACAATCTCATTCTCTCAATTGCTGGATGCATTTCTCTGACTCGTCAGAGTGGCCTGGGTAGGGTTTTCACGATTTCTTTTTTACATCTCTCCTCAGAAAACAGTTTTTACATATATCGCAACTATCTTCATTGGACTCAGTGTCTCGGCCAACTATATTCACACAACTCCCTCGCTCTCCCCACCCTCTGGTCTGAATCCAAATTCCACCTTGGACGATCTTTAGTTTAACCACGCAGCCTCATCCAAGTCGCCCATTCAAATGATGCGGTGTTAAAAATTTCTCTCCGTACCGTACACTGTGGTCGTCATTGACTATGATATCTGGATAACAACCAGCGAAGAAGGTATAGGCTTACGTATCCCACGTTTTGCAGCAGACTTCACTAAAGGTTGCAGCGCTCTTGTAGTGAAGATAAATCACATACACGCCATACCACACCTGACAGCAACACTTGCAGGGAGTATTGAATCGAACATTGTAACAAAGTCTTGTCCTATGAGGATGACAAGTGTTAAGCGATAGAAAGGGGAGAACTCTTCAATTTGTAAAGTAAGGTACAGGTGGGTATTAAATACCTAGGTTTAACGCTAGTACCACTAGTGCGTAGTAAGTGAATATTAAATATCCTTCAACAATAAGTTTAGCTCTAATAATAGTGTCATGGCATCAAGCGTGTTGTAGTAGCTTTTGCAATTTATGACTTGAAGAGCTTCAATCTACTCTTTATACGAGGAGAGAAGCAAAACACGCGAACACTGATCAAGCTGATAGAATCGCTGTTGAAGAAAACCAAAATAGAGCTAGTCTCCATCAGCTCCCCAACTAGAAAATGTTTCATTATGTGAAGTTAGGAAACGCTGGCAAATGTTCTTTCGATACTGAAACGTCATCCGAACATGATAATTTCAGACTACGGCTTTGGTTGGGATGAATGTTTCACTGTGACCGCATCATTGACAATTATTCTTCGTAGTGTCGGTCAGTTGCCATTTTGCGTGTGGGCTGACGGTGATACCATGGTTTCAAGCTTCTGCAAGCCACGTGGGAGTTGAGTTTCTGAATGGAGACTTTGTACTGGATACTGTACTATTAATAACTCCATTAGCACCTTCGAATGTTACCTTAAATGTGCGATATCTCTCTTGCCAATTAATTGTATCAAGGTATAGCTTTGAAGAGACTTCCATTCTATTAACGGTTATTGAACAACGCTTGTAATTTCATGCACTGCCAATGTCAAACTGTAATGATTTTAACAAAAAGATGAACCCCCATCAAAGTCATATCATTTCGAGATACCAGAACTAATCTCGAAACTGAACAAACTTAGTCCTGCTGTCATTGCGGACCCATTGGAGGCTCGCTTATTTTATATATTCAGCTTAGAAGTATGACTCGTTGAAAGTATTACTAGAACATAAGCATGCTTCTAGCGCTTCAACACGTCTATGAAAACACCGAATGAAATTGTACTATACATTCTTAGCATACGCTCGTTGTAGCTACTTCTGGTAGACATTAGTATTTGTAGATCCTTTTGAAATGTTGTAAACTCGAAATGTAAAGCAGAGGATAGCAAGGGCCTAACACCTAACCTAGACACGAACGGCACTGTCCCGTGTCACTCACCGGACCCAAGTACCGTTCTTGATGTTTGTTAAGCACATTGAAAGCTAATAAATTAACACTATGCCCAGTAGGAGGAGCACAAGAGCACCTGTTCTAGGTGTTCTACTACCTAGATTAGGTATTCCAAACTACCTGATTTAAGTACTCTAGGAACTTTAAAAAATTAAAAAAATTAAAATCTCCTAAACTCTCTTATTTTAAAGATAATACTTATTTATATATAACTTATACCCGATTTATTATAGAGTTCCTACTATTATAGCGTTAGCTATAACTACTTCTATTATCTATAATTTTCCAATTTCTCTTCTAAAACTCTCTTAGAATTTTTAACTTCTGCTTACTTAGTCCTACTATACTACTATTATAAATCCTCTAAAAGATAATAGATCTAAAGCTTTAAGCTCTATCCTACGCCTAGTATATAAGAGAAGTTATTATATAAAGGAGTTAATTTAATTAATTTAATATTTAAAAGAGTAATATTTACTTACTAAAGTATAAGTACTTTAATATTCTAGAATTACATCTCTAGAATATATGTACCTACTAGAGTATTTATAAAAGAATATTATAGATTTAATGGTAAGAGAATAATTAATAATAAATATTTAAGTTTATTCTAGGATTTTAGATATACTAAAGGTAAGTATTTTTATATATAGAGATTTTAATAATAAATATATATTTAATAGTAAATTATAGGTACTATTTATAGTAAAAAGTAAGTGATAAGTACCTTTTATAAAACTCTTTTTAATATTACCTACCCTTGCCCCTCTATTAAGTATCTTCTCTTTAAATTACCTTTTTTACTTATTACCTAGTAACCTAATAAAGGTAGTCGAGAATAGCTTTAATAGAGTTATTAGTCTTAAGATTAAATTATATTTAATAGCCTTTAATAGAGTTATTAGTCTAGAGATTAAATAGTATTCTATAGCCTTTAATAAAGTAATAGAGTTATTAGTCCTAAGATTAAATAGTTTTTAATAGCCTATATATAAATAATATTAACGAATTACTAGCGAGCTACCTTATAGTATAACGCTAGGATATTATAAAGATCTAAGACTATATATTTAGTAGTACTTAAAGATCTCTTATAAAAATCTAAAACTATATTCTTATTATTACTTAGTAATAGTCCTTAAAGTTATAATCTTAAGATCTTTAATACTCTTAGCTTTACTTAGTAGGAGTATAAGGGTGCTTACCTAGATATTACTAGAGAACTCTTTTAAAGCTATAAGAAGGAAAAGA